CACTTTGCCGCTTGCTCGGTTGTTCCAACATCTCGTCTCTAGCGTCCTGCGCCCCGCGCTCGCGCCCGCCTCTGCGCCCCCGCCCCCGCGTCCCTGTCCCCGCGTCCGCGCGCCCCGCGCCCCACCCTGCGCACCACCCCGTGCGCGGCCCCGCGCTTTGCCCGCGTGGCTTGCGCCTTGTCTCCCGCGTGCCCTCTCTGAACTGTATCATATCGTAAACGAGCCATTTTTCAAAATAAATCTAATAGAATTGTGCATCTTGTTCTCAAAGCTGCCAAACAAAAGAAACGTCTCAAGGGGCTGGACTTCGCTTCGTTGAAGTGGTTGGCGGAGTTCTTAGCGCCCTTCAGGACAGCTACAACCGCCCTGGGAGGGCAATTGTACCCCTCACTGCCCCTCGTTGTGCCCTTCACATGCCAGCTACTAGAGCACTGCGAGGCTCAATTGGTCGATCAACCAGGGGAGGAGGCCATCAGGAAACGCGCGCTCCAGAAAGTAGAAGCTAAACTTCAGCCTTCTATGAAGCACAAAATGGCCACATTCTTGGTTCCGGGTTGGCGGCACCTGCCTATGCTTAAAGAAGAATAACGGACTGAGGTAATTTTTATCGCATTCAATTTACGATAACATGCAATTTGGCTCAATTTAATGACGAATTTATTTTGTCTAGGTGTATGATCACGTCCGCTCCCTACTGGGAGGTGAACGCGGGAAAGTCGACAGCCCGGACGTCCCTGCTGCTGACCCCGTACTCGCCGCGACGCCGCCTCCCCAGAAACGGGCGCGTGTGAGTGCCACGTTAGCTAAGTGGAAGGCACCGAGCGCGGCTCAAAAGGATGAAGTGACGACTTACCTGGAACAGGCTCCAAGTGTGGACGTGGAGGACATGTACACATACTGGAGATCGGAGGTACGTTTTTACTCATCAGTATGTATCATTAACGTGACCCCTATCGCGAGTAAACAAAAAAATCCCTTTTCTTGCAGCTGCAGCCTATCACCGGGGTCTTCCAGTCTTCGGCAAAAGTTGCTCATAGACTAATGGGGATGCCTGCAACTAGTGCGGCAAGTAAGAGGAGTTTCAGCAGGGCAGGGTTTCTTATAAATTGTAGGAGGAATAGGCTGGCTCCACGTACTATTGACAACATTCTCTTCCTCAATAGCTACTTGACAAATAAAATGCGAAAGTAAGAGGTCTGTTTCGTTCATTACCTATGTCATTCACACAAAAGCCAAAATCCACAGAAAACATGCGGGTAAAATTAAATGAGGCAAAGCGCCGGGTTAATAGGCAACACGTTAAGCCGCCCTAAGTGTAGTGTTGCCTACATGCTCGGCGCGGCTGGCGGCCGGCCCTGCCGCCTTCGGACCCCCCCCCCCCCCCCTCCCACCAGGCGGCCAAGCGGACGAGGCGAGCGAGGTGGCTGCGGCGCAGCGCGTCGGGTGAGATCCGCACCCGACGTGCCCGGCTTGCCCGGACCCGGGCAAGGTGACAATGCCTACCGCTGCTCGGGTCGGGTGAGCCAGCCAGCGCGCGTCGGGTAAGCGCGCCGAGCTTTAACCGACCGATTGCAAACTCTACCCTGATTCCTGATTTATAACAATACGTATCATGATTAGTGACCCGTATTACGTTTGCACACAATTCTCCGTTACACATGGACAGCACATCTGTCAGGAAGTGAGTGTGTGTGAAACGCCTCCTGAAAGTAGGCAACTCGCTGCACAGCACGGGCCTTGAGAGTGGCATGTGCCATACATGGCACAATTGGCTGTAACCCCCTGTGTAGGGTGCGACAGCTACCGGTCAAATTGCTATTTATTTTCATGCGGCTGGTGCCTGGGTGCGGGTTGACCACTATGAGGTTCCGGCCTCCCGAATAGAAGCTAGGTTCTTGTTGCTCCGGCTGGAATACCCCCAATGACTTTCTGCCTGTATAAGCCTGTAACCCAAACCATAATAAGAAAGGGGTTTTGGCGCGATATCGAAACGATAACGTTCCGTCAGCGTATGTCGTAAATTGTATCGTTAACGATAAAAACGAACCTGATTTCGATACATATTTGACATGCGATGTCGAAACAATATCCTATCGGTATTAAATACCGATACCGGTATTAAGGAGGCATCCTAGTGTAGCGGGCTCAAAAAATGGAAAAAATATTTTGGTCTCAAAAAATCCCTTATGGTCTCTAGATTACAGCCCACTTTGTACGGTGCGTCAATTCGAATTCTCCTGCGTGAAGCAGTACGCAGCGCTCCGTCGGCACCCCAAAACTTGAATGGTGTTTTTCTCGAAACGCCTTTTTAGGCCCCTAAAGGGGGCCTTCCTGCTCGCGTGCGAGCGCTTTTTAGGCCCCCCCAAGGGGGCCTTCCTGCTCGCGTGCGAGTGCTTTTTAGGCCCCCGATTAAGGGTGCCTATTGCTTTCGCCCGAAAGTTTATTCTTGACGATGGCCCCTTATGGCAGAGCCAATCGTGCCCAAGCGAATTTAATGAAATTTGAATAAAAAAATACTTCAGAAAATTAGAATTTTTTTGAGATAAGTTTAATGCAATTTTGTCTGATAAAATTTGAGAAATTTGAGTTTGCATCCACTCGTTTCCATGGAAATGACGAGCTGAGCTGCAGGCCGAGTCGAGCCAGATAAATTTCGGCCAATCACACATTTGCGCGGGAAAGTTCGACCAATGGAATCGGTCGCCTGTTGCTTTGTACAACCCTACCCAAAAATTATTTGACCCTGGCGTCGATTCGGTGGTCACGTTTAAATAATGACAACTGGC